CAAACATTAATTCATTCCAATTTATGTACTATTCTTTAATTCTCCACATTTTTTCTAATCAAGATGGGATCGCTTATACAAAGAAAAAAGAAAAAAAAACACATACAAAAGGGAAAACAAGGTTATGAAAGAAATTAAGAGTAAAGTGATAAAGCTTATACCTGGGAATCAGGTCAGAGTTGGGCTCTGTTTCTTTTTGGTTCAGTAACATCAGACAAGTCATGTAACCTTTCAGTTTCCCCATCTGTAAAATGAGAATTTTTTTTTTTAGTATTAAGGCATTGCATTTAAAACACTCGTCCTATTGGCCAGAAATAGTAAAGACCCAATAAATATTAGTTTAAAAAAATATACCAATATGTATGGGTTAATATAGTTTTATGATCAGAATTAGATTTAGTTCTGAGATTCTTGACAGTCAAGGTGGAGAGGAAAACTGCAGTTAACATAGAAAACACTGATAGAAATTCATCCCACAGGGTTCTGAGGACATGGAATATTAGAGTTGTTTATGACTTTGGCTCCAATACTAAATTTGTAAGCTTGGACAAGTTTATTTAACCTCTCTACCACATATAAATGTGTGACTGGATGTTTAATTTTAGTTGCTTTTGATTTCACAGAAAGTGTTTGTTGAATAGTCTTTTGGGAATTGTCTTTGTCCCTCAACAGTATCTTACTGACTTATATATGACCAGTTCATTCATGTTCATTGCTTTGTAACATTCCATTGTATGATTATACCACAATTTGTCCAGTGCCATACAAACTTCTGTGCAGTTCTCCCAGTGGTCAAGTGCACTCCCCTCCAGGAACCTCCCCTGTAAATTCCAGCTGTCTCAGCGGCCCCAAACTCACTCTTCACCTTAGTGGTATGACCACTGTTTGAGCTCCACTTTCCTGTACCATGTTTGGTAGACAGACATGGTGAACCTGGGGTTCACCTGCTGTGCTTGCCTTCTCTCAAGTATCTCAGTCGGCTTTGCTGGTTATACAACTGAAAACAGTTGCCCCATATACTTTGACCAGTTTTATAGTTGTTTAGGACAGGAGTATATGTCCAATACTCATTACTATGTATGGGCAGACATGGAAGTATGTTGATCTCTATTTTTTACTGAAAGTTTTAGTTTTGCTTTATGCATTTAATTGTTAATACAGGTAGAGTTTACTTTCTCATATCAAAAGCCTGAGACAAATTTTATAATTTAAAGAATACATTCTTCAAGATGCACTTAATTTTATCCAAGTGTTCAATTGGACCACTGAGATTACATCCTACACATGCTATATGAATGGTGTGATAAACACTTTATTCCCTTATTGAACACTAGGTCACCCCCAGTTTAAGAGGAAGCTTAACTTCTGAACTTCATTTCTTCACTTGTAAAGTAGGGATAATAATATCTCATATATGAAGCACAGTTACACACACACACACACACAGCCTTTATAGAAGGTCTGCAATGTAGCTGTCTTAAATCTGATAGATTTTAAAACTTTGAAATGAGGTAATAATAGCTAACATTTATATTACCCTGAATATATGCAAGAACTATTATAAGTACTTTACGTACATTAACTTATTCAATCCTAGTAACAATCCTATGAAATAAGCACTATTATTTTCCCCATCTTACAAAAGGGAAAACTGAGGCATAGAGGTTAAATAACTTATCCAAAGTCAAACAAGTAATTCGTAGTGGAGTAGGGATTCCAATACAAAGTACATATACTATACTACTATTCAGATGACCAGATTGAAACATCATTCTATTATAAAAATTGCAGAACCCTTCATCCCACCTCTGCTCAGATGCGGTTACCAGGCCTGATTCACTTAGAAAACAGACATCCAACAACTTTAATTATGGGCATTTCAAAATTTTAAAAATAAAAACTGCAAAGCAATTATTGAATTTAGAAACAGTCCCTCCTTTAATTTCTAATTTCAGGGATAGCATTCCCACAGTTACACACACACGCACACACACAGCCTTTATAGAAGGTCTGCAATGTAGCTGTCTTAAATCTGATAGACAGATTTTAAAACTTTGAAATGAGGTAATAATAGCTAACATTTATATTACCCTGAATATATGCAAGAACTATTATAAGTACTTTACGTACATTAACTTATTCAATCCTAGTAACAATCCTATGAAATAAGCACTATTATTTTCCCCATCTTACAAAAGGGAAAACTGAGGCATAGAGGTTAAATAACTTATCCAAAGTCAAACAAGTAATTTGTAGTGGAGTAGGGATTCCAATACAAAGTACATATACTATACTACTATTCAGATGACCAGATTGAAACATCATTCTATTATAAAAATTGCAGAACCCTTCATCCCACCTCTGCTCAGATGCGGTTACCAGGCCTGATTCACTTAGAAAACAGACATCCAACAACTTTAATTATGGGCATTTCAAAATTTTAAAAATAAAAACTGCAAAGCAATTATTGAATTTAGAAACAGTCCCTCCTTTAATTTCTAATTTCAGGGATAGCATTCCCCTCAAATCATTCTGACTTTTGTCCATTTTCTTGCAACAGATTGATTCTAATGAATAAAATGCATTTTTATAATGCTCAATACTTTCTAAAAGTGTTTTCAAATGGATTAAGTTTCACATGCACAAACTACTGGCCTACTGGGTATCTGGCTCAGGTCAGGTACTTGTCATATTTTCTATTGAATTATCAGCAGATTTTTTCCCCAATTACATTCTGTCTAGAAATGAAATTTATTTCAAGATCCCCGTGAGAGACTATCTTAAATACGTGAGCCCACATTTACTCCAGTCTGGAGCTGCCAGTTTTTTCATATTTTTTAGGCACAGGAGCTGAGAATTGGAAGACACAATAGCCAAGTTAGTTTAGAGCAAGTTTCCCAAATCAACAGGGTCACTTACTTGGATGTTAGTAGCCAATCTTCTTGAGATGCCATGTGTTGTGCCACAAGGTCCTATGACCTATTTCTAACTTCATTTTGGTAGGCTTCCCTTCTTTCTACTCACTTGGTCAGTTGTAGAGAATTTTGACTTAAAAGACATTTTTGCTTTCAATAGGCAATTATATTGTAGAATATACTGTCAAAAAAGATGTTGCTGGGTTTGTTTTTTTTGTAATTGGATATGGGACTTTTTAAAAAAAATTGCTATACATAGGTAACCAGAGGCAAAAATAAACCTTTGTTTCCTTCCTATACATACTGGTAGGTAAGGTCTGAGTATTCTAAGCACACTCTAAGAACTCAACCCCAAACTCAAGCACATACTCAATATATAACTATGGCTTATGATATTTTAGCTATTCTATTTGTTTATCTTATGAACAATCCATAACAATCCAGTTATTACTTCGAATGTGCAGTAATAAGATTTAGAAATGATTACAAGTACTGAAAAAACCCATGAATTAAAATACAGTATTTTATTTTTTCTCATCTAAAAAACAAGCAACCCATAATTAAGATATACATAAACTTCTCAAATTTATCCCTAATAAAATTCTGAATATTTATATAATTTCTACAGAAACATACAGTGTATCAAAATCTGCACAAATCAAATTTATAAAATGTGTAGAAATGCATAGTGATATTATCAACTTACAAAGCAAGGATATGGGAATTATTTCCAAAGCAGCCTACAGTAGAAAATAGTCATTATGGCAGCAGCTTCTGATGTTGTTTTTTTTGTGTGTGTTTGGTAAGGTTTCTGATTTTGATATAGAGAATCATTTTCATAGATTATCTACGAATTGCACAAAATATCTATTTAAAATTTACATGCACAGTTTATGTGCCACCTTTCTTAGGCCTATGCATAGTTAACAAGGTTATAATTTATTCAACAAGAAAAATGGAACCTATTTGCAAACACACAAGTAATTAAAGTACCAATTCTCTTTCTTTCTTATAGTTGATTTATTTTGCAATTATTTAAGCATATAAATTTACTCCTTTTTAAACATCTCTAGAGATGAATGAAAGTTAAAATGGTTGATTATAGATCAGTAGCAAAATACAAATAGACAATTCAAAATTATAAATAAAATTCTGTTTAGGATGTTTAACTCTCCAAATTTAAGGACTAGCCTTGGAAGAAACAGATTTGTAGACTTTTCATTTAAACAAATGTAGGTTTTTGGTTTTTTTTGTTGTTGTTTTTTCTTTTTTGAGCTTTAATTAAAAATATTTCCCTCTGGCAGTAGTTTGTGAATTCCATTCATTGTAATGATATCATAATTACAGGATCAAAAATGCTTAATTTACTTGCCATTCCCCAACTCATGTTATTTGCCCCCCCCTTAACATAGCATTTTATTATTTTTAAAAATATATTTTTATTTATTTCAGAGAGAGAGAAACATCAATGATGAGAATCATTGATTGGCTGCCTCCTGCATGCCCCCTACTGGGGATCAAGCCTGCAACAGGGCTTGTGCCCTGACCAGGAATTGAACTGTGACCTCCTGGTTCAAAGGTCGATGCTCAACCACTGAGTCACGCCGGTCAGGCTTAACATAGCATTTTAATATTTTGAGCAATAAAAGAGTATTTCGTTAGAAATAAAAATCTAATCAATCATCTCCAGTATTTGGTTTTCCTATACTGTCTTAGTAAATGTTTAAATCCAAACAAGTCTTCTTTTCACTGGAAAAATACTAATAGAAATATACTTCCTAAAAGAATTAATAAAGATTAGGGGAAAAAAAATAAAAAAATAAAGATTAGGGAACTAACACTTAATCTAACAGAAAGGAGTTCATATTTGTTAATGAACTGTATTTTTAAATAGCCTTTTTAAATTTTTAAAAAATGTGCAGGGAATTTTATTTGGATGAAGATATAAATAAAACATCCATTCACTCTTGGCTTGAAAGGTTGCACAGCTTAGGTTATAATGCACAGGAGCTTTGTAAGGCTTAATTTAACAAGGGCTTGAAAATTCTTACTTCAGAATGAACCTTTGATGTTTGTTTACAGCAGTGTTTTGTTGTTTTTGTTACCTCCCCTCTCCCCCATTTTAAGATTTGAAACTGAGAATTATAGTTTTCTATAATGACAGGTATTGGGGCAAAGTAAATTCCAGAGGTCAATGGTCAATTTTTTTCTAGTTGGCAGACCCTTCTGCTCTTTTAGGAGTTGGTATTAACAGAGGGCAGTGGGAATGCCAGCAAGTAAGGAACTTAATGCCGTACAATCTTCAATTCCTATGGGAGAGCCTTGGGGTTTCATGTTAATTTTTTTCAAGCCATACAACATTTGATCTCAGAGCAAATGGTAGCACATAAATTCATTTCTGAGTAGTAAAAGTATTTACTGGTGACAATTCCATCATTACCATCCTATACATTTCATTGAAAGCTCTTGAAATATATACTGAGAAAATGAAAGAGGCACTAAATGTGTTGAAATTCACCTTTCAAAAAAGCAGCATGACGGTGAAGGAAGGCCACCTTGGCTAATAACCTGTGGCAGTGCTTCAAAAAGATGTAAAATTAAATAAAGACACAACAGGTTGATAATCACCAAGTTATATATGAAAGTCTGGTTACTCCAACCTTTTTTCAAGTGTGTTAAAAAAAAAAAATCAATCTGCCTGTCAGACCCCTGAGTGTAATCCCAAAGAAGACAACGATGCTTTTAGCTCTGTTCTGAACAGATATAAATGCACAAATTACCAACATCATCTTAAAACAAAACAACACAAAAAGATGTAAACATCTATAAAGTTTAAGGTAAAAGCAGTTTTGTAAACAGTAACTGCAGATGACAATGTTATTGTAAAATCACAGTTTATCAATGTCCTTCAAACCTATCAGGAGGTGCTGGGTTTGGAGCTGTACAGAGTTAATAATAGTTGCAGCAGGTTTCAGGCGGTTTTCAGTCCTGTGAAAATTTACGTGTCAGTAGGTAGGTTATTGGTTTCTTTTATTCTTTCTAAACACTGTGGATGTTATTCATTTCCCACTTCTGAGTCATTTTACTGGAGTCACAATTGGAGAGAAACACTTGATGGAGGACATCTGAGCGGTCTAAGCACTTTCCGGAAGGAATGTGAGTAAACCTGTGCAGGTTCTGGAAAACACAGAAAAAAAGTTTTAAATTTGTACTTTTTTGATGTTACTGACATTAGAAGAAGTCCTTATTTGGCTTTCATACGAAGTTAATTCAAATCAGTAGGATGTCTTTACGTTTTGTTGATGGTTTCCTTTGTTATGCAAAAACCTTTTAGTTTGATGTAATCCCATTTGTTTATTTTTTCTTTTGTTTCCTTTGCTGGAGAAGACATATCCAAAAAAACATTAAGAAGAGCATGTCAGAGAGTTTAGTGCCTATGCTTTCTTCTAGGAGTTTTATGGTTTTGGGTCTTACATTTTAAGTTTTTAATCTACTTTGAGTTTATTCTTATATATGGTGTAAGGAAGTGATCTAGTTTCATTTTTTGCATGTACCTGTGCTGTTTTCCCATCACCGTTTATTGAAGAGACTGTCTTTACCCCATTGTATATTCTTGTCTTCTTTGTCATGATTAATTAACCAAATAGGCATAGATATATTTCTGGGCTCTCTATTCTGTTCCATTACAAAATAGTCACAGGGATATAAAGTACAGCATAGGGAATATAATACTGTAATAACTATGTATGGTGTCAGCTGGGTATTAGACTTATTGGGGGGATTAACCACTATGCTATACACCTGAAACTAATATAATATTGAATGTCAACTGTACTTAAAAAACTTTTTTTTTGGAAAAAAAAAGATGATAATTCAAGCAAGATGGACAGGCTTCAACCAACCAACTATACATCAGACTTCGGACTTTTCTTGATCGTCAGTCTTGTGCTTTTATTGTTTATATAAAGACTTATGTTATAATGTACTGCTGGTACCTCAAGTTCAGTGCATACAAACCTAAATTCATTATCTTTCCCTCCAAATCTATTTTTCTAGTTCCTATTCTGACTAACGACAATATCAGCTTTCCAGTCCTCATGATAGAGGCATTCATGTTGTACCTTCCTTCCCTTCCTCACTTCCTTTCTCTCCCTCCCTTCCTGTTGAGCAGTCACAAGGTGTGATATTTGCAATATCTCTGGTATATACCCTTTCCCATCCCCACTGCCAATGCCTTAGTTTAGCCCTCATCATCTGTTGTAGGTTTCTTCACATAGTTCAGGGCTTCTTAGAGGGTGGTCCTCAGGCTATCTAAGATTGTATCTGTAAGGTCGAAACTATTTTGATAATAATACAAAGGCCCCATTTGCCTTTTTCCTTGTATTGACATTTATACTGACAGTGCAAAAGCAATGGTGGATGAAAGTGCTGGTGCCTCAGCATAAATTAAGCAGTGTCACAAAACTGTGCTAATAGTCCATTCTAACAGTTAAAAAAGGAAATGCCAGTTTCACTTAAGAATGTCCTTGATGAAGCAGTAAAACTTATTAGTTTTACTAAATCTTAACCCTTGAGTATACTTTTAAAAAGATTCTATAAGATGAAATGGGAAATATGCATAAGACACTTCTGTATAGTGATTACCACGGTTATCTTGAGGGAAAGTACACATGCAACTGTTTGACTTGACAGAGTTCAACTAGCTGCTTTTTTCATGATTTGTCATTTTGACTAGAAAGGTCAACTCACAGATAAACTACAATTATTTAAACTTTGTAGACATTTTCATGAAAAGGAAGTGAGCCTCTCCCTTCAAGAAGAAAAACAACAATCACAAAAAACAAATCCACAAATCTGACAGTATTTGGTGCCATTGATACAAGTTGAGTTTTCAAGCAAATATTAAGAATTTTTGAAAACTGGCAAACACCACCGTGAACATGATAGCTTCCTAATATGTATATTTTTGACATTGCACAATGAAATGTGTCACCATTTGCAAGATCATAACTTAGTAAACCATGATTTTCCAAACGAGCAATGCATGATGTTACAAAAGCTCATATGGGTAAAAAATCCATCAAAGACCAATGGATTTTAATGTAACATAGGAAAATGTTCACTTATATGGTTTCAGATTCTACACGACAAATAACTTAAGAAACTATCACTTATAGACTTGTGTAGCAGCATCAAAGAATAGCCAAATTATCGGAAAATGCTATTAAATTATTCCTCTTTTCCAATTGAATGTTTATGTGAGGCTGGATTTTCCTCATCTACTGCAACTAAAACAATATATAATTTTAAATGGAATGTAGAAGTAGTATGAGAATTCAGCTGCCTTCTATTAAACCAGATATTAAAGGGATTTGCTAAACTATAAAACAATGCCTTCCTCACTTTTTTTGAAAAAGTTATTATTCATTAAAAGTATTTATATTAATATGCAATAGGGCTAGTATTAGTTTTATATAAATTATAAATTAATACATAAATACCTGTAAAATTTATTGGATTAATCTCCAATTTTGGATATTTTGTTAGCTATAATCTACATAAACATAATCTATGTGAGAAGAGTCCCAATAATTTTTAAGAGTGTAAATGGAATCCAGAGACCAGAGCATTTGAGAACTTCTGATGAAGCTTTACAGTTCATATTTCACAGTTTCCAGAATTATTTTCCTAAAAGTATCAACTGTTTCCTATCACTGCATTCCTCAAATAATGCCAACTGCTCTCCTAAACTTACAAAGTGAAGTTCAATGTTCTGTCATATGGAGGGAAATCTAAACGTGATTCCTCGTATTTTTCTCTATACACTTTCATGCCATGCCTTTGGTCACCCATTTTTCTTACTTACTCTCCATGAGAAATCTCTTTATACTTCAGTGATACCGGTGCAATGATACTTCCTCTATGAAACTCATCAGAAATAATTCCTATTAACCTCTCTTCTGCTGTCTTATGGCATTGTGCTTATTTTAATTTCTACCTTTCCCCCCCCCTTCTCTGCTATTGTAGTATGATGTGCTTATTTTTTGAAGTCACTAGCCCTAGTATTCAGAGGTGGCAAAAGTAGATTTAAGTATCCACTTTCATTGGTCATTAGTTCAATTATCAGCCATCGTTACCTATAAGACAAATTATAAGGATATGAAATAATAAAAACAATAATAATAATAGAAATAATAATTAATAAATACAAGAATAAACTTTCATGTACTCACAACTGTTAGCCTACTTTTGCCCACCCCTGTATGTTTAGTAATGTCTGATGCACAAATGTATATTTAGTGCTGTGCCGTTTAAAGTATATAAAATATGCACATTCCATTTTTTAATCTATTACTTCTCAATGGTAGTTTCTGGTCTCTTAGCCTTCTTTTATTACTTTACTAATATTGTTCTCCCTGACCCCTATTACTTACTGCTATTATTAATTTCTTTGTGGAAATAAATGCTTTGTTCTTCAAGATTTATGCTGATCTTCTCCTTCCTAACTTGTTATAAAAAAAATCAGCAATTGACACACTCACCACTTTATAGTAATTATCTATGAATGTTGATGATTGGGAATATTAAGCTGGGTCATAGTAACATACCTACATAGTAAACAAGTGCTTGCATGACAGACAGGGTATGATAACATATATTAAATGAGTAAATAAAGTTGAGGTTTCCAGGTTATTTCAGTTTGGGGTAGCTTTCCAAACTTTATGTTTTACAATAAATTTATTTTAGTCAAGTGCATACTTTGAAAATTATACATACATCCATCAATATGATGGAATCCTCAACTTGGCACAGAACTCTTGAATATTCACAGCTAAAATAGAAAAACTGTTCCTTCCCACAGTGTCAACTAAATATGACCTTTAAAGCAAGAAACAGGCAACATTTATCTAATGATTGTATCCATAAAACAATGATAAGGAAGTAGTGAAGGCCTAGATTTCCAAGTGTTATTTGTCTGTCTCCAACGCCACCTGCTGGACAACATGAAATATACACACAATATTTTTTTTTGTTACATATATTTGCCCTCACAGAATACTGATTTTCCTGGGTTACTGAGATTCGTGGGCCTTTGTGGACATCTCGTGACAACATTGCACCAGAGAATAAAAGTGATGGTTCATTATGGAACAATGGAGTCATTAGTGCTCAGGAAAACAAATGACTGAATGAGAGGGAAATGCAAGTCAATTTGACTGCAGGTTTTAAGATTTATACATCTAAATTCCACAAGGTAGGTGTTATTAAGATGAAATAGCATATAATTATTATTTTGGAAGTTGAAATGCAAAATACCTTGAAGTACTGCCATTCCTTATATTCATTTAGGTTACAGTGTGTAATCATGATTTTTGATCCATCAGGCCCCTTTGTCAAACACTGGTCATACTGCATGAGTTGATTAGCTTCGTTGATTCGGAAAAGCTATTAAAAAAAAAAAAGAAAAAAATAACAGGCACCTTCTCTGCTGATACACAAAAACTAACTCAATGGCTATCTTATTTTTCTATAATATTTTTGTATGTTCAAAACTATAAATCCAAAGACTGGAAGTGTATTCATTTTGATGTTAGCAAACTAACACTGGAAGGATTATGTTCTGTAGCCTCTTAGATACAGAAGGGGTCATTAACACGTATTTATCAAGTACCGACAATGTGAGAAAATACAAGTGAAAACAGATCTGATGGCTTACAATCTAACTTAGAGGCAAGAAAAACACATAAGGAAGTAGGAAAATATATTAGGGAAATATACATTACTGGCAGTAACATTCCAGCTTATTGGGAAGAAATGTGGAATTCTGGATAATATTTGCAAATACAATTGTTAGGGAGCTAAGCTTGCATAGTTATGGACTCACACAAGAATATATTCTAACTAGAGGCCTGGTGCCTCTTCGTCAGTTGGACATCCTTTGTGCTGCCATGGAGGGGGTGCTGCTGTGCTCGCCAGTGTGAGCCCGGCTTCTGGCTGAGCAGAGCTCCCCCTGTGGGAGCGCACTGACCACAGGGGGCAGCTCCTGCATTGAGCGTCTGCCCCCTGGTGGTCAGTGCGTGTCATAGCAACCGGTCGGTCGATTTGCATATTAGCCTTTTATTATATAGGATAAAATGTCTTATATTAAATTCTAGATTATGACTGCTTATGTGAAAAGCAGTGCTGCTATTATACCCTCATTTAACTAAAAGTTTTAGCTCAGTCCGTTTTTTCTTTTTCTTTTTTTACAGAATGGTTTACTTTACCAAACAAAGAAAATTACCAAACTGAAAAGCAAAGGAATTCCCAAGATCAACAAGCCTGGCAGCTCTCACTATAGAACCAATTTAAATATGAAAGGAGGTAATTTACCTGGTTCCCTCCCATCCTGTGGCAGGGTCCTAGTTCAACAAAGCCTCCGTTTGTCCTTCCCATGCTATCAATGCAGTAAGCAGATTCAAAGCCTCTGATCTAAAAAAAGGAACAAAGAACCAATAGCAGGCAACTGTTTAGTTTTTATTATGCCCTAACATCAGAGTAAAAGAGTTTCATGTTAAATATTGCAGTTCATAGTGGACATATGGGTATGTGTAATGCCATGTGATTACTGTATTTATTGTCAGTCTTGGAATAGCTTAGAACATAGTAGTCATCTTTGAAATAATTTAGGGTCTTTAACTCAGCATTAGAATGGGTTCATTCCAAGGAAGGGCATTGGCCTATAGATTTTGATAAAATACCACAGAAGAAAAAAAATTAATAGACAGTAACTATTAAGTACAATCTCAGACTCAGATAATTCACGTGAATGAGAAGCAACTAGAGTTACCTAACCACAGTGGTCACAGACACTGGCCCTAGATGTCTAGAACAGAACTGAATTTGTAAAGTAACTCTCCCAAATGGCTGTGAGGCACTTTTGGTAGCTGTCTGCAGGGACCCAAGGGGCGAACATTATGGCAGCTGGACCAGGCAGTGAGACTTTTCTATGACTATGGATAAGGTAGGTGAAAAGCCAACACAGTTTCCATCTTGGAAATGCACATTTCTTATAAAAAAAAAACTTTTCCCTTTTTAGAAATATTATATATCTCAATTATAAATTACTATAATATATGTTTTATTCATTCAGTCAGTATATACTGACGGAGCACTGTGACAATGTAAGAGCTTTAGAAGATACAAAGAGAAGCAAAAGCAAGTCCTGGTCCTCAGGACCCTCACGTCTGCAGGAAGGCTGAGGGGTCAAGTCAGTCAGGATGGAGGGATGGACGTGCGGAGGAAGAGCCCCCTCCCACAGCCGCCTGGAGGAATTCCGAAGCAGCTGGTGGGTTTTACCCTGGAATGTGCAGGGAAGGCTGAGAAGTGAAATGTAAGGTGCCAGAACAGGAAGCGGTTAAACTGAAGATGTATTCAGATTGAGATTGTAAAGGGAGGACAGAAAATTCCACCTATTGATTCACTTAGGCATTTAGTTATTCATCCAATATGAAGTGAGCACTGTGTCAGTTATGTTGTAGGCTCTGATACAACCATGAATGAAAAGGATAAAGACCCTTGCCCCAGTGAGCTTATATTCTAGGGAAGGAAACAGAATATAAGCCCAAGCCACAATAGACATGTTAGAGAGGGATAGGTGCCGTGAAACAGAAAAGAAAAAGAGCAAGTTAATGAGGGCCTGTGTGGCTAGGAGTGTTTGGGGGATAGATAGCAGGTGGATCTCACTGAGAAGGTGCCATGGGAGCAGACTTGAGGTGTATGTAAGAGTTAGCTACGCAAGCAGAGGAAAGGTGGTCCAGGCAGAGGGGGCAGCAAAGGCTGCCTGCACTAAGTAAGGAGGACAGTGGGGCTGGAGTGAGTGAGGAGAGGAGTAGCAGGTGAGGCCAGAGGAATAGGGCCAGAGATGCAGGCCCTAGAGGCCATTAGAAAGGACTGTGCCTTCTCTTTGAGGAACAGGAGGTGTCACTGCAGGTTTCTAACAGAGTAACATGATCATTTTTGAAAGACCACCCTGACTGCTGTGTTTAGAACAGGAAGTAGGAAGGCAAAGCTAGTTTCAGTGAGATGTGGTGGCTTAGACGAGAGTAAGAAAGGATCAGAGTCTGGAACTAGATGTAAGTGAGAGAGAAGGAAAGGATTCAAAAGAGACTCCAAAGCTTTGGCCTAAGCAATCAGCAAAGATAGGCTGGGGAGGGGAGACAGGGAGGTCACTGTTGGATGCGTTGAGTTTGAGATGTCTATTAGTCAAATGGAGAGGTCCAATAGGCAGTTGGATATACTTGTCTGAGCTCTGGGAGAGAGATTTAGGTTAAAGATAGAAACTGTGGTCACCAGCATGTAGATGGTTTTAAAGCCACGAGACAGACAAGATCACCATCCAAGAGAATTCCTTTTGCATAGAAGGCACTATACTAATTAGGACAGGGGTCCTCAAACTACGGCCCGCGGGCCACATGCAAATACAAATATTGTATTTGTTCCCGTTTTGTTTTTTTTACTTCAAAATAAGATATGTGCAGTGTGCATAGGAATTTGTTCATAGTTTTTTTTTTAAAACTATAGTCCGGCCCTCCAACGGTCTGAGGGACAGTGAACTGGCCACCTGTTTAAAAAGTTTGAGGACCCCTGAATTAGGAGATTAAAAGATAACCAAAACTGGGGTCTGAGCTGCCAGGGGCTATGCTCTGGTTGGGAGTTAAACACAACTTGCTGTAATAGCACACAGAGGTGAAATAAGGGTACGGGATAAAGGTACTAAAATAAGAGGTGCAGAGAGAGAGTGGCATAGAGTCCTTGGTTGGCTTCTTGGAATTCCTTTGGAACGAATCCTGTCCTATTGTTTTCTCATCCAGCCCCATGAAACAATCCACCTGCTGATGGCTCCAAACATACATCCTTAGATGTACGTTTGCCTCTGTTCTGGGTTTCAGTATTACACGGCTTATGATCTACTTGGCAACTCCACCTGGGCCTTTCCCAAGTCCAGAACACCAACAGAGAACTTGCGATTCCCGACCCCTCTCACTCATCCTGGCTACCAACTTCCTAATCTCAGATGCCACCTGGTCCACTACTCAAATGAAAAACAAAACTAAATGTCATCCTGGCCCATGTCCTTCGCATACAAATCCATCAGTGACCTACCTCCAGATCTTCACTTTGTATGCTTCTCTTCACCTCTGTCCTCACCGCCCTGGTCCAAACTCCCATCACTTCTCACTGGAATACCCTACTGATTTCCTAAACTGTCATTATTGTTTCTACTCTAAATCCCCACAGCAGGGTGATTAAAAACAACAGCATAAATCAAATCACGTTACCTTTCTGTTTAAAACCCTTGCATGGCTTCCTACCACCCTTAGGATAAAATGCCTCCCTCCTCACCTGCCTGTCACTTTGCCTTATTTAACCTGCTCTTTTCTTCTCATCAAACACGCAAAGCATTTCCTGGCTCAGAGCCTTCAAACTCATTTTCTTTACCTGGAACACTTTCCCAGCTCTCTGATTTCAGATCTCAGATTAATGTCACCTCCTCAGAGAAGCCTTCCCTGCCCTATCCTTATGTCCTCTTGAACATTACCTACTAATTTCATTCATAGCCTTTACCACCATCTATCAGTATCTTCTTTGTTTTTCCTGTTTTGTTTTGTGTGTTTTTTTTTGGGGCGGGGGGTGGCGACGGGGGGTTGTCTCTCATCTACCGGCATGTAAGTTCCCTGAGGAAAAGGACCTTGTTTGTCTTGTTTTCTATCTAGAAGAGTGACTGGCTCAGCTAATATTTGTTGGACACATAATTAAGCAAAAACATATAGATGTGAAAGTTCGTGGCATGTTTAATACAGCACCCATATGGGTGGGTGAATCAGAAATGCACCCAGTTACAAAGGCAAGTTTGAAGAAACAAAGAAATGACTTTGATTTTAATTATTTCCAGCTACCATTAATTAATTCACTCACTTGACAAGCATTTTGAGGGCCTATCGTATATGGGGGTCTCTGCAGTAGTTCACTGGGACACAATGGAGAACATATACTAACTGACTGGCTAAGAGAGAGGCAATTTTCAGTGTTATGAGAACTCATGCAAAAACCACAGGACTGAGTCTTTTTGATGGAGTGGGAAAGAATAAGACTTTTCATTGAGAAAAGCTGCAATGGTAATTCCTACATTGGATGCAGTAATAATAAGTTGGAATTAGCCAAGAAAGGGAGTCAGACTGAGGGACAGAGAAGTGGCAGGAGAGAGTGGACAGTGTTCCAGACTAGAGGAGCCATATGTGCAGAGAAGAGGGGACACACAGTCAGCTGCTCCGGGTGGTTGTAACTGGGAAGGTGCGGGAGGTACCAGACAGATTTACCCAAACTTTCCCTCAAAATTCTTCTCCCTCATACATTTCATCTCTCCCTGCATTCTCCCAAACTCAAGTCTCCAAACACATGCACTTTGATATCTGAATATCACTGATACTTACTTCTCCCCAGTCAATATTTTTGGGTGGCAAAGGGTAGTGTGAGGTGATATCATAAGCGATCTCTTCCATGAACCATTTAAAACTTTTGCAGTTGTGATCTTCTCGAAATTTTTTCAGCTCAGAGATATCTCCATATGCTAATGCCTTTGATTCAGGACGACTGGCATAGAAGTAGTCTTTATATTCATCCCACCAGACCTCAACAACTCTAACATAATTCTGTGGAGAAAAAAATTAATATCATTATAACAAATAAAAATATTTGTAATGTCATAAACAGCTTCTCTTAGACATCTGAAATATGACCAACATATAACAAACTTATTTCAATAAGGCCTAATATTTAAACAACAAATGCAACTGAGCTAATGACTCTAATATGTCAACTGCCAAGGATAAAATCATCATGCATGTTCAACTAAAAAGTGATGGACATAGACTCTTAGCTGCAAGAGATATCTATTCTAAGAGAATATATTCTGTCCTGCTTCTAAAGGAAGATTTGCTACCTAGAGGGGTTTATGAGAGGCTGGCTAGACACTGGTGCTCCTCCCAGAATTATCTCCATACTACTAGCATATGCAGGGAAAAACCCCATTTCAGAAATCATCATGAAAAATAATAGTTTTGTTTAATAAAAACACATCTTTGTAAGAAAAAAATCCCATTTCAGAAACCATCATGAAAAACAATAGTTTTAATAAAACACATCTTACAACTATAATAGGACCATTTTTACCATAACCCAGAATTAACTGGGTATTTTCCCCAGTTGGCACACTTTAAGAAAAAAGTAACTAATGCACAATAAAATCAGCTGACATTGTGATAACTGACAAAGACCTAACTTCTAAGGTTTTACCGAATGCTGCATGTAGGCATGAATATACGTGACAGATTTAGTACACACTCAATCTAGTCTCTTGGTCTTCTCCAGCATGCCTCTGCAAACTTTGTTGTAAAGGGCCAGAGAGAAAGCATTTTTGGCTTAGTGGGCCATAGATATCTCTGTTGTAACTATTCAACTCTGCTGAGAACGTAGCCATAGACAATGTATAAACAAATGGGTGTGGGTTGTGCTCCAATACAATTTGATTTACTATAGGGCTGGATCTGGCACATTGTTTTACATCAGGAGTAGGAAAATCTAGCATTCTTTTACATTTTTTTCTAGACTACAAGATAACTATCAAAGAGTGAACGTGACCTTGCAAGCATGTTATTGCAAAAGCTATTGGCTTCAACAAAGTCTTAAGCAGTGGTATCCTAAAAGAGCATGTAATATAGCTAACTATTTTGAATCCTTGCAAATTCATCCAAAATTAGACACAGTCCATGTCTTTTAGATACTAATGAATGTGAAGAATTAAATGCACATACATAAGGTTATAGCAACAAAAAGAAGGAATATTTGTTTGGGGTGGAAAGGGGCACCATGGAGGGATGCTGGATGGATCAATCTTGAAAGAGTGGTTAATTAGGTGGGTATCGTATTGAGGGCAAAGAGAAATGCAAATGAAGATGGCAAATCATGATGAATTTGGAATCCTCCAAGTAGTTTGCCACAGGTGGAATGAATGCAGGATTCAGAGAGAAACTTGCCTCACTGTTCTCATTTTAAGATGAGAATAATCATAGTCTTTATCTTATAGTATGTTGTGAAAATTAAAAAAATTAATCTATGGAAAGCATGTAGATTTGTGTCTGATACCTAATAACCAATCAAAAAGTGTTAGCTATTATTATTTTTATGGACTTTGAGTTTTATTCTTTATATGAGAGTCATCAAAAGGTTTTAAGCAGAAAACAGACATAAGGACATCGAAGCTGATGACAGAGAGCCAAGTGGGAGGCTGTTTAATATCCATGGGAGACATCTAAAGACCTGCACTAAGCATAGCAAGGAATGGACTTAAGAGATATGTCTGAGGTCGAATTGTCAGGGCTTCATCAGGTGAGAGGTGAGTTGGACAACCCTAACATGCCCCCCAAGTTTTATTCATGGGCAAATAGAGAACACAGGAAAAGGAATCACTTTTGAGAAAAAGTTTAAAAGTTTGACTACATTGAGTTTGAAATATCTAAGAGGATAATTCTAGAAGACAATTAACTATAAAAATCTGAAGCTCAAAGACAAATGGGCTAGATAAACCCACAAAAACCATTGGCACCCTGGTGGTTGAAGTGCATGGTGCTAAAATTGGAGAAAAGAAAGTGCCTGGCACATTCGGGGCATTCTCTAAGAATATGCTGAACATGACACTTCCTGGGTAGTTTTTATGGAAGCTACAATTCATTTGTAGAGTTCTCTTGAGTTGGTTAAGGACTCCAGAAAATGAAGGGCATCAGAGTTATGGGCTCTTAGAACTTATGACAGCAGCCCAACAAGACATTCAACAGAGGCTGTTATCCTAGCAATGGGACATTTGGCCTCTGTATGGAGCTTCCCTGGTTTGTCCTGTTCTAAGGGACAAAAGATATTAATCTTTCACAAGCACTACTCAAAATTTGATTTTGTTTACTACAAAAACTCCTAATATAATTAATTTTAAAATTAATTTAAAGTTTTTAAATTTCACACGCTGCTGTGAAATTAGGCCTTGTGGGATATATGGCTGTTTGTCATTTTGATTTATTTAAAATAAATAAATAAATAAATATATATTAAAAATAATATTTTCCTCATTTGTGACTAATAGAAGTTGATATTTTCATTTCCACTACTTTCCTTTCTTACAGAGTGTCAGTCCTTTGGAATTTATTTGCGATGTCTTTATGGAGAACATTCATGAATGGGATACAATGACTAATTTCAAAGAACAATAAGGTATTTCATGAGTAAGTCTAGCCTAGGGTAAAAGTGAGGGCCTATGTGATTGCTTACAGCGGTTCTCAACCTGTGGGTCGCGATCCCTTTGGCGGTCGAACGACCCTTTCACAGAGATCGCCTAAGACCATCCTGCATATCAGATATTTACACTACGATTCATAACAGTAGCAACATTACAGTTATGAAGTAGCAACGAAAATAATTTTATGGTTGGGTCAACATGAGGAACTGTATTTAAAGGGCCAGAAGGTTGAGAACCACTGGCTTAAGAGATTGTTCCATTCAGTGAGCTGACATTTACTCTGAGTACCACAGCATGTGGTACATAAATGTTAGTTCCCTCGCCTTCTCCACTTTCAACCAGAAGACTCACCTTCATCGTTGGAGAAGACCCAACATTAATGGGCGGAGGATTCCCTTGCCAGCCCTCGAGACGGTAGATATGTCCCACACGAGAACAAGGGACAAACAGTAATTTGCCGCCACACTGCCATATCTATCAAGAAAAAACACATGTGGAAGTTGTTTCAAATGCCAAAATAAATTACGGCTAAAAATTTGCCTAGAAACTGTAAATCTGAAATCTTAATTAGACACAGCATCCACAGGTCCACAGGGAACTAAACAAATCTTAAAATAACTTGCCTGTTTTCCAAACTCATTTAATAACGAAGGAGGCGATAGGAAAGTAGGAAAGCAGTTTGCTGCTGCTAAGGGACCTTTTCCTAAGTACTTGTCGCTCCAAGCAACCTTTTCGCAATGTAACCTTGCCAAACCATGCAGAGTCTCCGTTCCTAACATCATTCATCGTTTCCATTGCTAATATATGTCCCACCTGGGTGATTATAATAATCTCCTGCCTGGCTTCTTCACCTCTAACTTCTCTCTCTTCAATGCTATCCTTATTTATAGCAAGGGATGATTCTAGTTGAAGGGCAGCTTTGGGTCATGTTATTCCCTTGCTTAATATCTTCGATGGGTTTCCACTGCTTATCAAATTAAGTAAAAATCTCTTAGCTCAGCATGAAAGACTCTCTTCAGTATGGTCCTAACGCACCCGTCCACTTTACCTTCTTGAATGTGTGTCTTATTCATGCTGTCAGATTCTGCGAAACTGTGCTCCTCACTGTTTCCTGAATACATTCTTTTTTTTTTTTTTTTAGGGGGACACAAAGTTTTCTTTAATTTTTCTTTGGGGGG